CCCATTCTTAAGACTTCCCTGCAGCTGAAGGCTTTCAGACCCACTGAATACCAGACTTGTGCCAATCTCTAGTTTCTAGGCAGTTTACACCAAGCATCATTTACACTGCTTTTTGCATCGTGAGTACATTTTAAAGTCTCCAGGCCAAGGCTACTGCCCTTTCTTACAAACTCAGCTCTCTGCATCCAACAGTTTTCATTTAATTGCTGCAGGTGGAATTGCTGCATTTGAGACTTCTAAGCAGAACAGCTCTTTTGCATACTTCCAGCTTCCTTTGCTGAAGAATCGAAGCTCAGGGGGCAGTGCTTGCTTTCAGTTCTATTCCAGTGCAGACGTGTGATATGCTCATATTGTCACAGCTTAACAAAAATGTCATCCTTGTGAACAGGGCAAGCAGAATCTGGGTACGTCCATCAAAGACCACAGTTTAGCAAGGCAACTTATTCATTTGGGTGCAACTCTAGCTGCTGAGTAGTTTTAACTGACTGATTCATGTCCTCTGCTCTTCAAGAATATCCCGTCCAAGACTCAAACTAGGATTCTCCTACAGCTAACCTGGGCTCCCTGTATTCAACAGGGAAACTCCTATTTGTGCACTGAAACAGAAATGGCCTTTCCTAGCTTGTTCATAAGTCCCACAAACTCACTGGCTTTCTGCATTTCTCAGCATTGCGCTCAGAAGAGGGCAAAAAACCCCTAGCAAGATCTGGCAGGGCTTGGCAACGCAGCTCACAGGGTGATTTTAAACTGTGGATGGCAGCAAGCCTCCCAAATGGAAAATGTTTAGCTGATATATATCGCCACAGCTGCAATTTCAAAACAGAAGAAGGACAGTTGTGTACATTGGCCTCCTAACTGAAGCCTGTTCTAACATCTGCCAAAGTATGTTGTGTGTCAACACCCTCACCAGATTCCCAGCCAAAAGGAGGGTGGGAGGGGAGCTACAAACAGGGGACTTTTCATTTATAAAAGCCCTTCCTTTCACCAAAAGAGCCTTATAAAAAGTAGCCTCTATCTAGGTCTCCACTTAATCAGTGGCATGAAAAACAGGGGAGCTGTAAACTTGCCAACATGCCAAAAGGATGAAGTTACCCTTTCGGGGCAGAGTTTGGGCATATCTTTCTCCTAGCAAGAAAGGAAAGGTTGAGGAACAGGTCTCACACCCTGTGTTGATTCATGCAGCAGTGCAGAGACATACACAGCTATTACACACTTCGCCTCTCCAAGTAACATACTTGCAGATAATAATAATTCCTACTATGCTGCCCTTCTCTGAGCACACAGGCTTTTATTTCGCCTCCCTGGGAGTAGGAGTGCACTTGTAGTTATTGAGCCACCCCCTAGAAAACACACCAAACCCGCCAGGGTTAGCCACTTTCAATCTAAAATTGACATTATTTCTGATTAATCAAGTTACAAACCAAACACTAAACCTCCACTCAGACTGGAGAGCTTCACTGCTCTGGGATCCGGGGCGGAGCAGGAGCTCACCAGCCCAGGGTGCAAATTTCCAGGCTATCACTTTGGTGCATGGTGCTTAATATCACTTTTCTCCCCAACACAGACTGCGCCTACTTGCAAAACGAACATCATTCACCTTCTCTCTCCACCCCCACCCTGGTCCATGTGTTTTGGGGCAGGACAGTCCTTGTTTTGTTGTTTTGAATGAAGTTTAGCACAATGATGCTCTGAACTCAGCTGGGGTCTTATTATACGAATAAACACTAAGTGACTGGAGTGAAAGAATAAGCAACAATGACAACAAGGACTAAACAATCTCCATTTATTTAAACAAAATGGAGATGAGGGAATGCAGGCACGTTGGTATTTTTGCCTATTCACATTCTTATGGAAATGAATATGTTTTGTCCCTCACAACCTCTCAGATTTGCGTGCGGGGATTTAATAAGATCTCTGATGCCAATAAAATCACATTTAAATTAGAATGTAAGTCAAAATGCAATACCTCACAGCAACAACAAAAGCATCCTAGCCTATAAAGATGCTGAAATGGATAGCATGTAAGTAGGAACTAAGAACTTCCAAAGGTGTGTAGTGATGATGAACCTACATAGGAAGTAAGTAAGTCAAGCATGTCCTTGCATACAGTCAGTGCCCAGATGGATGCGTAACTTCTTTGCAACACCAGCCTGGTTGTTAGGTTCTGGATCTAACCAGATGCTGCGCAGGACACTAAAGATGTAGAGTTTTATGAATTCTGCAAAATAAATCTTTTCTCCTAGGAACTGTTCGGCTGCAAGTAGCTTTGCACTGGAGTTTCTCAGATCAATGGTTCCAACTCCAGGAACTGTCTCAGTACATGGATCGGGATCATTGATTTTGCTGGAACTTAGGCAAAGCTACAGCATGTGCAGCTGGGACAGGGACACTTCCTCACCCAGTGCACATGGGGGAACCACAGGGAATGGTCATACTCCACTGCTCACGGAGTACTGGAAGAAAGAAAATGATAAGGCAGGAAAAATATCAAGAGGAAGAAGTTGAGTTGCAGGAAGACCCTTTCCCCACCACAAGAATGAAGTCTACAAGACAGTAGCCTTCCTCCTTACACACTGTAGACCATTCACAGCTATAGGTCGCTTCTCTCAGCTGCCAAAGAGCTAAATCTCAGCGCCTTTCATCTGCTCTGGGCGCAGCTGCCTGGGAACTCATTTTGGAGTCTGCAGACTTGAGGGTGATGAGAAAGGCCATCCTACCTTCTTACCCGGGGAGCGGATTAAAATGAAACGGTTTTTCTTTTTTAGTAGCGCACGCAGTTCCTGGCACTTGTCATAACTCTCCAGTTCCACTGTTTCTATGCACTTCTGTTCGTCCTGCAGAGAGGGAATGAAACATTATGAATAGGAGGCACTGAAATCAATCATATACCATCAAACTCCGCGTGTCTTCCCCTTGCATCTGTCTAAAAGCTCTTCTGCCTTAAAAATAACCTGTGTGCAGACAGCAAGCCCCCATAAATCAGGCTGACATCTCACTAAGAAAACACCCTAGTCTTCAAGCTGCAGGCCGATTTGTGGCTAGTAGTCCACAGTGGCTGAGCAAATAACATGTGGACAGTAACACCAGCCTCTGCCATCTCTGTTGGCCTCATCCAGGGATCTGCAGCCAGAAACAAGGCGGGAAGGTCTTTGCCCATCATCCTGCCCCAGCCACAGGTTGAGAATGTGCTGTCAGCCCCAGCATAGGAAGGACAAATAACATGATGCACTTTTATAAACCTTCCTGGCATGATCTCAGAGCGCTCCCCAGGCTTCTCCTTCACGTGGTGTCACTGCCTCCTCGCCACAATGAATGCAGGAGATGTTATTCTGCTTTTTCACAGGGAAGACGACGCAAGCATCATGACGGTCCAAGCAGCCCCCCAGGAAGTCCAAAGCAGAGCAGAGCTAAAAGGCAAGCCCTGCCGCCATGCCAAGCCTCAGCAAGGTCAGTGGGACCCACGTGTGACTGGGACACGCTCCTGTTGCAGCCACACTCTGAGCTGTCAAAATGCTTAGGATTGGAAATATGGTCCTGTACAGCCAGCAAAACTCTCAGGGCCAGCGTCTCAGTGGGGAGTATTTATCTCTGGTGTATCTCCACTGATGACTGCTGGCCGCGATCTTGGCTCATTTCTCCCAGTAACATAACTAAAATTCCACACGTGGTACGTGGCTCAGTTCAGCTGCGGAGCACCATCCCTAATAGGAATCACAGCGTAACGCTGGGCAGATAATATTCTTCATGTCTCAGTAGCCCAGAAGAGACCAAAGCTCCCTTTTCCTAAGTATTACACAAATAAGCAGTGAGAATCGCAGAGCAGTTCTTGCCGGTAAAGTGCTAGAGTCAGCATGCCTCATGAACCTCTCTATTACCATCCTAAATTAAAACCGCTGGCCGTGACCATCCCCAGCTCAGGCTCCGCTCCCAAGGCAGCTCCTCGTACCCGTATGAGTTTGTATTTAGCAATTCCTGTAGCGGAGAGGGGGTGTGGGATGAGGAAGCGTGTCGTAGCCAGGAAGCTGCTGCGTGGCTGGAGGCAGGGAATGGAGAGTTCAGAGGGAAGTGGGCTGTGGGGAATTTCCTCCCGTTACCACTTGACATTTAAGTCGCTGTGCAGAGCTCAGGATGTGTTTAGGTTTTTTTAGCCCTCCTATCTGGGGATGGGGGCCCGGCAGAGCCAATGCCGGTACGCAGAGCAAGTTCGGAGCCACTGAGGGATGTCTGGATCTAATTTAGGTTTATTATTTTAATGACATTACTGTTTATTTCATTTAACACTGAGTAGGTGAACATGACGAGAGAACTGGGAAAATGTATACTAGGAGGAGGAGATTAATCCTGCCCAAACCTAAAACCTAGCGGATAAAATCCTGCTGATGTTACTGAGCCCTTTGAAGGCACAAGGCTCCTACTGCAATCCTGGTATTGCAATGTCACTGCAAAAGGACAGGGATGGAAATAAGAACCCTTCAGTGGCCAATAAGCGACAGAGAAGGGTGAGGTCAGGAATACATGCCTCAGGGATGGGTGATCTCATCCTGGCCTTTGGTGGACGACTGCCCACATCACAGCACTGCCACACAGCCGGTGTGGTTACCAGCTCCGACGTGAAAGTTTGCCGGGTTCAGGATGTAGGCAGCTTGGCAGCGCTCCGACTGGAGACCAGCATGAAGGCTCCTGCCCACCCTCCCCGCTCTCAAGAGTAGCTCTGTCCGCAGCAGAGCCCAGTGGCCCAGTGTCACCCTCCTTGTCCATGCCATCCTTCCTGCCTCTTGGAAGGTAACCTTCCCTCTGATGCCATGCAAGCCGTCCTCCACTTCCTAAGAACAGTGTGGCACCGAGCTGGGGGACAAGAAGGACTTGGCAGGGTGGAGAGCTGTGTTTTTGCCATGACATTGCCTTTTGGCATCCAGCTGCCCCTCTCCTCCTTGGGGAGGCTTGGGGGACTCTGGCCTGGCCAGGGAACAAGGGCAGCAAGGATGGGGACATGCAGGACCCTGCCTCCCAGGGGCAGTGGCTTGACTGTGCAAGCTATGGCTCCTTCATTTCAAAGACCTGAACTTCTCAAGTAAGTTATCCTCTTCAGGGAGGGCGGGGAAGAAAGCATCCAGAGAGATAAGAAAACTCCATGTCTGAGGGCAAAGGAAAAGCATCTGAGTTCAGGGAGCGCCAGAATGGGGCTTTTGTTTCTGTTTTACCCTTGGCACGTGGCCATCCCCTCTCTGTTAGCCTACCTGGGTCACAAAGAGATCCTTTATGTTTGTCCTGCACCACTAAAAGACCGAAAGACCCGACCCTGCTGCAGGTCTCCAGGTCCCTTCAACCTCCTGGGACCTGGAGGATACTCAGCATCACACAGAGAGACAAGGTCGTTTCCAGAGGCCTGCCCCAACACATGGGTTTAAGACACGTGTTCTGGACAAGCTCCCACTCCATTTGGTCTCTAGTGTCCCAAAGAAGTTAAAGCAATCCTTTTACATCGTTCTGAGACACAAAGGTTGAGTCGTCACTCGGTGGTTGCACCTCCCTGCAGCACACAGCTCACAAGGTTGTCCCATGGCGCTGCATTTGCTGCCAATCAAGGCAGGGAATTCCCTTCAGGCCACCTTTCTCTTTTCCTCTACGGATTTTAGGGCTTGTTTTTTAAATTGCTTTTGTGCTGCTTGCTGTAAGGGACAATCAATAAGATGCTTAAAATCCTGGTACAAAACCCCCTACATTCATGATTTAACGCAGAAAACTAATTCCATTAGCTATTTGTGGAGCAGACGCTGCGACTTAAACATATATGTCTGTAAGCTTGGCCCTTAAGAAGAAAATTACTAAACACCTAAAATTATTAATGCATGTGCTTAACCAAAGAATCACACTTGGCAAACAATCTCCTTAACAAAAAGTTGATAAAAAGGGGAAAAAAGACCCACTGAAATTTGTATTTATATGAAGGTGAAATTTCCAGCAAAGGCCCCTTCACTGACACACATTCATGGGCTGTGACCCTCAGTGTACAATGTCTAGACTGCCTGAAATGATAATTTACTTCTCCATCTGGGGATCTCAAAGCGTTTTAATAAATCACTTTTGGGTATACATCGCTATCACTTTACAAGGGGCAAAATGCAGATGTTAACTGCACGACTGTTAAATGCTGAGTGGATCCTTTGGTCTCTGGAAGACTCTCTACCTAGTAGGTTTTTTCCCTGTCAGATAATACACTTTAAAAAAAAACCAAAACAACAAAAAACCAACTCTAACCACTAGCTGCACTGTTTAGGGAAAAGAAACCAAACCCAAGACTGATACTTTCTAATCCATGGAGTGATGATATTGATCTGTGTAGCCTCTCTGCATAGGATTGCCTGTTCTTCAGATGCTCTCTGTGGTTCTGCAAGGCGTAATTTTTATTCTTGCAAGAATATGCAGAGAGAAGACAAGAAACCCCGTTAGAAAATAACCTGCCCGCTTGGTTCTTAGTTTACGTGAGGGTACAGATGTGGGGTGCTGTAGATAGAGGCACAGCAGATAATAAGAAATCCATCTCCTTTCATTTCACATCTGCTGAAAGAAACCTGAAGCCCGGTGGGATGACTTTCACCCCCCATCTGCTCCAGGTAACACAATAGCCACTTGCCATTTGCCTTCGGGAAGTAGCTCCGCTTTAAACCAAACCCAAAGCCTGACTAACAGATGCAATATGGGAAACACACTCCCAGGGCAGGTCAGGAGCACATTCCAGGAGATTGCTATTGATCACTCTGCTCAGAGTGTACTTTCTGGTGACACGGTACGACGTTATTGCCTACATCTTGTGTTGGCCATCCCCTCTGCTCTTGTTTTGCACACACAAACCTCAGCTACAAGTGCAGCCAGCCTCATGCAATTGCATAAACAAGCGTGCCTGCATATGAAACCACTGCTAAAGGCAATATTAGCACCTCTTTGTGAAGGGCTCCAACACAGGAGGGACTGATGAAAGCACCAAGCGTACATTCACTAGCTCAGTTCCTGGAAATCTGATGGGTTCAGACCAGTTGAAATACTCAGCCTCTAAACCTGCCCTCCCACATGGAAGCTGACCTGCTTCCCATTTAACCCATTTAGGTCTAACTTAGGATACATATGGAAAGATGCTTGTATTTCTGTTGCCTGAGGCTTTATCTCCTTTCTTTTTCTAGGGCTCCAATTCAGCAAGCACTGAACAATCCCATTTTAAAATGTTTCAGTCTGATGACAGTCTGGGATGCTGTGTCTGTCTTCAGGGTCACACAAAGCAGGGCAGGTAAGTGGAGAAGGTCCAGGGGAAAACGGCAGCTTGAGCTCCAGAAATAAAAGCCACCGTAGCATGCTGCGCCACAGACTCTCCTTTGAAATTGGGCAAGGCCCTTCTCATCTCAAAAACTTAGTTCCCCAATTGCAAGATGGAGATGGTAACGCTGCCCTAACTCACGTTAAAGGAAGATAAATACAGTAATAAACATGAACTGCCTCAATTCTGTGGCAACGGGACCCCTCCTGAGTGCAGAAAATTGCCATTTCCTTTAGTTCCTCTGTAGTAAGTCTGCACAATCACATGCTATCCTATTGTGCTACCAGATAATTTTGTAGCAATTTCCTCTCCTAAGACATTTGACTTCACTGTAAGCCAGTTTAATAGCCTATAGATATTAACATGATCCCTTATTTACAATAATGGGACCTTGTAGCTACTGTAGCTTACAGATGCAATTTATTACAGGATGTTACCACAATCCGCAGGCTACCAGAAAACATTATGCCTGGTTGTTACAAATGCCATTTTCCTTGTTGAGATAATAAAATAACCCTTTAAATGATTGGGATTTTTCCTTCTTCTGAACATCTGTGAAAATTAGTCTTACTTTAAAAGCCTCCTTTTCCCTTGTGGTAATGAGAGCCTCCATATATCTTGTTTTTAAAGGCATGCCCTTTGAAAAAACCTGCGTCATGTTTATAGATTTTGAATCTGCGAGTTCCTGGAGCTTCAGCTGGGGTCAACAGGTGTCCGGGACACTGGGAAGCAATCTGCAAAGAGTCAACAGTTTGCAGGACCAGGCTGCATCTCTCTGCGTAAGAGAAACCCCCACCGCTTTGCCTGCCTTCCAAGCTGCTCATCACCTGACATTAACTTCTCATTTCATTATTCTTGCACTCTTCATGACATTTCAAAATGAAGAACAAACGCCTCCGGAAAGCTTTGGGATTCAGGAAGAGCAGGAGGGTTCAGCGTATGGGAGGAGGTAATACTCTTTAACCTAAACTGTTTAAAGCAAATCTTCTTTATTAGGCAATAGTATGTTTTTAAAAAAACAGAACCAAACTCATTTGTCTGTCCTGTTGTTCCTGAAACCATCACAGCAATGCAGCTGCTGAAACATTTCCCCATTCTTCTTCCCTTGACACACTGCACAAAGCTTTACATGATTTTGGTTTTATATCATCCTGATGCCCACAAATGACCCAGATCCCCTTGTGTCAGACACCGCACAGGCACGTCCTTGTGCAGACATGCAGTGAGAAATGCTCCTCCATCCTGATGCACACACGAACTTCAAGCCACCATACACCAGCAGGGCTTAGACTTACCCACCCCTAATCTCAAACTTCTCTGGGTTGTAGCTTGTGCTCTGCACTGTAATTTCTAACTTTTGGGGCAAACTCTGCTCTTGCAGAAGCCCCTTCCAGCCCAGGAACCGAGGGCCTGACTCAGGAAAGAGCCACCTTTGCAGCTCAGCAGGACCAGCCCTGCACTCTCCATTCTTCTCACATGAAGATGCAGGACAGATTTGGCTTGGCTCTTATTTCTCATTTGACTGGAAACAGCTCCAAACGAGGCCATGAACTTAAGGCATGCAATTTATCTAGGGAAGTCCAGGACAAGGCTCCCAGGGGTCCTTCGCTCAGTACTGGCTCAAGTAAAGAGAAAGGATGAGCCAAATCCAGACTGTGTCCCTGCTTAAGGAGGACAGCAAGCACTCACAATCTCACCCTGTGTCCATCGGTGGCTAAATGAAACACTGAAGAGTTTGGCTAGCAACAATTTGGGCTGCTTGAGGGGTGCCAAACAGCTGCAAGGTTGCCTGCCGTTCCCTCAAGTGGCAGGTGGGAAGACAGCCTGCTACAATCCAGTTTTATCCTTTAAACGCCAAAAACGCATAGCACATATCCTGCTTCTGCCCAAAGCTTTGCTCTGTTCGCCTTCTCACAGGATGTCCTGCCCCCATTTTTTTTTTTTTTGGCAATAGCACTGTCAAAATATTTACTGGCTAAAATATTTATAATATATAATATACTCTAAAATGCAGCTGTTGTCTCTTCTTTATAGCATTTACCCTTCCTGGAGATAACTGGAGAAGATCTTTTGAAAGGAATGGGCTGGAGGGAAGAGTGAAAAACACAGGAATGTGTGTCACCAAGGGCCTGATCCTGCCCCTCATTCAAGGCTGTTAGCTGTGACCATACCTCATCCTCAAAGACCACGAGCTGCGTTTTCCGTAGCTGGATGTAACGATCCTTCCACAATCCCAGGAGCCCCCCACTGCTTTTCTTAATCCAGCCATATTTCTCTGCAGTTGGAGCAGATTTTGGTTTCTCTGAGACCTCTTCCTTTGTATCCTGCAAGGACAGAAGGGAGAAGGAATTACGTCAAAAGCACTTTCCATTCATTTAATGAAAGTCATCTGAAAGCCTGCCCAGACAAGACCTCAGCACCCACCACATCACAAGGGAAAAGACTAGCATCTTCCGGAGGAAAACTCAACCAGCTGCCACCCCAGAGCCGCCACAGGACTGGGGAGCGCATATGGACCCTGGCCACCCCTGGGGACACTGTTAGGATGGCAGCAAGTCCACCTTGCTCCTCTGCTTCCCCAGTGGCTCTGCTCCCCTCTCTGTGGAGGTACTCCCTGCTCGCTATGCACCAAGTGCTCCTTGAAAACAAGCACCCTCCTCTCCACTTTGCTCCTCCAGCTCTCTGATGAACCCCAGTGGGACGGATCCTGCTGGCATTAGTACCAATGCTCATATTTCAGCCCACAGCCACTTCTGTAAGCTTCTCCTCTAGGTCCCTACGCCTGGTCATCACCACCAAACCAACTCCCGTGGGCAAATCCACAGCACAAGGGCCAGGACTTCACCACATCTGCACTAAAATGTTCCTGGCAGGCTCCTGGGTGGTTTGTAGGCAGAAGGAAGGACCAGCAGAGAAGGCAACACCAAGAGTGAGGGTTTTGTTGTCCTGCCTTTAGCCCCTTGCTGTTTGTCACAGCCTGCTCTCACCTGCCCGCAGCAGCACGGGGAGCCCCAGCATCCTGCACTGGGAGGCTGCTGGCTTCCCAGGCCTGGTAAAAACCAGGAGATGCGTGACTTCCCTGCTTTGAAAAAAAACATCAGAAATATCCAATATCAATATTCTCATCAAATGGAGACAGGAAACCTAAGACACGGAGCAGGGGCAGCCAGGCTTATTAGCTGACTGCCTTCACCAGCAAACTCAGTTAAAGATGAGAGTTTTCCTCCCCTCCAGGGGGCTGGAAGAGCCTTTGCAAAGGCAGGATCCCCATTTGCCTCCCTTAGAGCACCCCGCTGCTCCCAACACCCCGTGGACCCCTCAGTAAGCCTCTTTCCCCAGAGCAAGGCAAGAGGAATCCCTCACTGAGCCAAATCCCCTTACACAACACCTCGCCAACCTTGTGACTTGTAAGGAGAGGCCAACCCCAAATCCTCCAGCGTCCTCCCAGGAACCCTACTGTCCCCGCAGAGTCGGTTTCCTCCACGTCCCTGACTGCAGTAGCAGCAATCCCACTGCAGAAAGGCAGCACATTTGCACAAACCAAGGATGCACAACAAAGGCAGAGCCCCAACCGTCCCCAAATGGCCCTTGCTAGCTGCTGAATGAAGCCTTTTCTCATAGGAAAAAAACCCCAAACAAAACAAACTGGAGCGGCTGGAGCTCAGACATCACGTTTCATAACATGAGGAAATCTCATGTGCATGGAAAGGAGTCAGAGCTGGACACTCCTGTGGCCAGAAGGGAGTGAGGACAGAGTGAGTGAGCACAGACGAGCTCCAAAAATTCGGAGGAGATCCTTGCTAATAAATCTGTTTTCATGCACCAGACTCCCAACGAACACGCCCTTGGACAGCAGCTGCCATCAGGGTGAGCTGTTACTCTGAAGAGGGAACTTGCACCCATAAAAAGAGGAAAAACAGATTAAATACCCCATGGACCCACATTTATCCCGATCACCACTAAGGTTGGGAAGAGGCTTGGCTTTGCAGGTAGGCTCAGGTGCAGACCAAGCACAAGAAACTCAGATAAACCGTGTATCGCCTAAAAGAAAATCAGGTGGAAATCTGTAACATCCTTGGTGCCCTTTGTAGAAGTTATTTCGATTGTACTGAGCCGTGTTTGAAATGGCCACAATACAGGATGACAGAGCATGAAAAAGTTTTCCGGGAAACAAGGGGTACTGCATGTTTTTTTTTAAACTTGACTTTTTAGGTTGCCAGGAAGTTGTATTCAGTTGTGATCTGCGACTTCAGCAAACATCAATTGCTGCACAAATATAGACCTGCTGGTTTCCTGATCGAGCACCCTTTTGATGTCATTTTTAGATAACTGGGCATGGACTTTAACCTCCCTCGTAGCAGTTTTGCATGGATGCAGCTGTACGAAGAGTTTATTTGAGTGACTCCAGACCAACAGCTGCCAAAATGTTTTTACTTCTTAAGTTTTTTTTGCTTTGCAGATGAATTTTTCCTGCTCTTTTTCCCCACCTGGCAGAAAGGCTATCTGAAATCACATGGCAAATATGCCTATCTGTGGCCTCTCCTGGTGCTCTGCAGAGTGAAAACTACCCTGTCTCCTCTGATTTTAAAATAAAAGTACTCCCTGTGAAGACACAGCACTTAACATCTACCTCTGAAAAAACAATCTGCCCCAGTAACCGTTTTTGTTGGAGTTCAGGCTCATGCCTGTTCTTCTGCGCACGGCAGAGCAGCAAGGCTAGGGCAGAGCTCGTCTGGCAGCCTCCGCTGCCTGTGAGGCTGCCTGTTCCCCGTGGGCTGGCCAGCTCTCCAGCCTTCCAGGGATGGTACCTCCACTCCACGGCATTGCAAGGTGGTCTTGCAGTTCCCCCTCTCCTGGTTTGGAGCCACCCACCTGGAAGGAGCCATGCATGGGGTTCCCTCCACACCAGGCAGGACTTCCCAGCTGTGCCGGCATCTGGGAGCATCCGCAGAGAGGACCTGTGACTCCGAGCCCCCGCCTACCCCAGCTGAGCATCCCAGGAGAGGGAAAGCGAGATGAGATGGAGGGTGCTGGTCTCAGCAGATGACAGCAGCCATGAGCAAAGGGCTCAGCCCCCGACACTGCGCAGGAGTCACCTGAGCCTGAGCTGCCTGGTGCCTCCTCCAGTCCCCGCTACAAGATAGATGTGACGGCTGTGATCCTGTGCTCTGCGGGTGCCGGGGGCTGCTGCGCTGCCCGGGCTCTGGATCAGCAGCTCCCGCCTTGCACGCACACAGCACGTCACAAGATGGGGGTGCAGTTGCTGTAATCCCTCGCCTGCAGGTTAAGGGCATAAAAAACCAGATGATGCAACTTGACCGTTTGTTCCTGTGAAAGCAAGAAGAGTCTCGGAGATGGTGCCTGACATTTTTGCAGATTATTTTTATGCTACCCCTGCCCTGAATTGGCGAGGGGAGGTCGGCCAGGGAAGGGCACCGAGAGTAGGGCTTTGTGTCCATCCTGCACTCTCTGCCTGCAATTCCACAACTAAAACCAGAGCACGGCACAAAGAGATGAGTTGCTGTTGTTAACTCAGCTATATGTGGGTATTCCTTCCGCAAGAAATACTAAGATATCCCTCCTGGGATGTTCTTGGGCTGGATTCGTTCCTGACGCTGGTGTAAGTCCATGAGAAGAAACCCCCTGACATCAGCCAAGAGAGTCAGCGTAAATAAAGGAAGAACTGAGATATCCTGATGCTGGCTCATGCCAAAGGCATCACTCCCAAAACCAATCCATACCAGCCATTTTTGCAATTTGTATCACGGTGGCATTAGAAGTGAAACATGAGTTTCACTCTTCCAGCCTGGTTTAGACTCACGTTTCACAGCTCAGCAGAGATGCCAAATCAGGGGGACAGGATGGCTTTTTATTTAACAGGCAGTTATTTTTTTCCCTCCCCTGGCCCTGTATTTTAAGGGCCCACAAACCCACATACTTTTCATGTCTTCCAACAAAAAAAAAACCCCAACAGTTGAATCACGGTGGTGCTCTTACCAGTTACATATAGTGCACAGAAGCGTCTTACCCAGTTACAGTAACTTCATTTAAAGCAAGCAACTCATTTATTGCACACTCCTCTCTAGCATGGCACTGATGAATGCCTCCCAGGAGACAACCTGCATCTCCAGACCTCCACTCTTTTTCTCCTTTTCCACGTTATCTTCCAAGCCCGGCTGTTAGCGCTTCCACTTCTCCCTGACCTGCAGGAGCAAAACCGTCTCACTGGAAATAAACTGCTCTGATCCAGGTGGAACTTGGGAAACTGCATCTGACGCTCCCTCCCGAAAGCAATCACCGGAGGATTCATTTATCGTTAATGAATAGTGTCCAGTGAGCCGGTCAGTCGGTACTGGGGAGACAGTGGGGCAGCCGGAGCCCTGCCAGCACTCCTTGCCCCCGAACCCCAGAGGCCATCACGAAGCCCCTTTGGCTGGCGGGTGCCCGGTGAGCAGGGACACCAGCTGGAAGCAGTTTCTTGGCTGTGGACTTATTTCATGGATGCCAGCGGATAATAACAACTCTCAGTCACTACCAACTTGGGCTGCTTTGTCATCACCCTGCTGTTTTAAAAAAGCTCTCATTCTTGTCACAAAATGTTGGGAGCTGAAATAAGGGGCAGGGGGCAGAGGGGGAGAGACAAGCCACAGCTACAGCCATCGCATGTACTAGAGCCTGAAGTCCTCCGGCAGTCTGCCCTACCGGGAGCTTTCTTTGTGCATGAGCAGCAAAACCTCATTTAAGGAAAGGAAGCAGGAATAATTGGGCAGCCAGATGAGGGGAGAAAACAACCTGTTTAACTTGCTAACAAATTTGTGGCATCTTAATCAATCCGCGGATGGATTATTGGGGTGTGATCCCATGGACATGAAAACCTGCACGTGCAGGAGAAGCACCACTGCCCTCCTCTGAGTAGAACCCGTCCCAGGCAGACACGGAGGAGGAGGACAGACTTGGGGAAGGCTGCTAGGCATGTGGACATGGCCAAGCTTGCGGTCTGACAGAGGCACAGCTCCAGTACGGAAGCACAACACCCCAGCAAGAGTCAGCACAAGGTGGCCTGAGCAAGCGTGGCATTGAACAAGCCCGAGTCTGCCAGCACTCGTCCTCCGGCAGCGCCAACATTTGCCCGTCAGCCTCACCCGGCCCGGTTAGAAAGTTTCAAAACCCAAAGAGCTCTCGGGATGCTCTGCCCCAGCGACTGCCAGCAGCTCCAAGCACCCGGGGCAGCGCAGAAGGCAACGGGGGGCTGCTTGGGAAAAGGGACCCCCATCCTCCGGGTCTCCATTTCTGCCCCCCGTGCTGGGGCTGCCCCTGCCGCCTC